CGCGAAATGGGCCAACCAATCATAGCGTGCAAACTAGCTTTAACAACTTTCACTAAACGTACTGTCCCCTGGTGGCTTCCATCCTGCACTCTGTTGTTAACGTCCGTTCATGGCTGTTTCTCCACAAAGTCGGTAAATAAAGGCACTTCAGTGTGTACTTTCGCCTGCACCTTGGAAAAATTTGTGGCCTGCTTTTTGTTGTTGTTTTGTGAGAATTGTGTCATTCATTCATTTCATTCATTCAATTGCCCCTCACATATTTAAGACAAATGTTTACCTGAACAAGGTTGTTCTTCATTACAAGACTCTGTTTGAATGCTCGGTCCCAGTTCCTGCTCTTCACATGTCTTCCCTGAGTACTTTGGCTCAGGTTTGTTACATTGCCGTTCTCTCTGACGCACCCCACCCCCACAAGTCACTGTGCATTCACCAAACTCTCCCCATGGGCCATACCCCCCATTAACTGTAAAGAAAACATTATTTCAGTTGATATCCAAAGTCAGCTACTGTAAAATGCTCTTTAAGCTACCACTACAAAATTTTGTTCTTAATTTCATCTACATCCTTTTCATTTCTGTTATTCTGTTCTGTTTGTTAGTCACTGTAACCAACAATCCTGCTCTTTTTTGTTGAAGACCATTTTGCCAAATAATTTTTTAGCATGGTGATCCCCATAGCATTTTGCATCATATATTTTCAATATGTCATTCGTGTTACATAGTGGGAATATTAATGACAACAGTACTGAAAGGCAAACACCAAAGGATCGAACAAAGACGACAAGATTTATGTTGGAAGGTCTACGGCCGTACACAATCTTTTGTTTTGCGCTCATAAACTATGCATGACTTACGTAACCAAAACATTTCTATTGGTTAGTTCCTCGGTCAATAGTAAACAACTATTGTGTTTTGTGCATGGTCATGGCCAAAAGAGCAAACAAAAATTAACAAACGACAATGAACTTTGTCGAGTTTCATAACCATTCCACTCCATTAACTATTATAAAATTAATTGTCAAAAAATCATTCAATTTCTATGTAAACCCTACAGCTTCCTTTAGAATGTCAGTTTTACATGCACATTGTGAATAAACACAGATAATCATATTACTAGCAGGTTTGATCATTTAGTCTCCTGTGTATTGTGTGCTTGTGTTGAGTCATCGGTATTAGCTCGCTTAAGTTGGCTTGATAAAAAAGTGCTCGTTCAACAAAATTTGCCCACATTACAGACTATTTGGCCCCCCTCAGTTATCAAATGTGAACATGTCTAAATTGAATCCCTCTATAAAACCAAGCACTTGCCTTTTAGCTCTTTTTTAAAATTACCTGGGCAAGGGTCTCCATTACAGGCCTCTGTTTCAATGCTTGGTCCCAGTTCCTGCTCTTCACATGTTTTCCCTAAGTATTTTGGCTCAGGATTATTACAGGGGCGTTCCTTCTGACGCACCCCACCCCCACAAGTCACTGTGCATTCACCAAACTTTCCCCATGGACCATACCCTCCATTAACTGCAAAGAAAGACAAAGACATTTGTAACTTACATTACAATGTAGTTTGGATTAGGAGCAAAATGGCTTCTAGTGGAATGTACTAACTCATCAATTCACATTTACAACCCTCAACAATAATGCTAGGACACAATAAACTCCATCTTTATCACTTTAATAGTAAACTTGTAATTTATTGTCACTACATGAAGTAATGTCAAACTCAACATATCAATGGCCTCAAAAACTAAATATATATGATTAGTAACAACTAGTACATGCAGCTATCATAAATTCTAATTCATAAAATATAATGTTTCAGTAGAATTCCACTTGCCATGCACAGTAATGCCAATGCTGCAATGTGACTGGCTGAGCTGGTCAAACACTATCAGCTATTAGTAGAATTCCACTAGTATACTAATGCAAATGCTGCAATCTGATTGGCTGAGCTACTCATATACTATCAGCCATTAGAGTG